AGTGCCAATCACAAGTATAGTGCAATGCAAATGTAATATGTTCTTCTCTGTGCATATACCAAAATGTGTACCATCATTAATACATAAAATTAGTTTTATTCTGCAGAGAAAGTCAATATACCAAACACAATAAACTCAGTCCATAAAGCTAACACCCATTGATAAACATACTTAATTTTCAAAAAGTGACAGTTATTTCTAGCCAACAGGATTTGAGATTTACAGTCGCATGACTAAAATAAAGATCCATATTCATGTGTTAAAGCTTTGTGCATCAGGTCTAATGTGTGGTGTAGAGCCACCACAACCAGGACCAGATGTATCTAAATCTTATATTGTCATGTATGTTTGTGGGTTATATTCCCAAGATCACTCCAGCACATCCATTTTGGGGAATAAGTTCTATGTTTTTTATCTTTTGGAAAGGGATGCCCCCTCTGTTTGGATTCCTTCATTTATCAAAACAGATCTATTAGTAACCGTGTGTGCCTATGCTCCCATAGCCTATAGATGGTGGAGGGAAGCAGCACCGATGGGTTAACGTACCCGTACGTCAGTCCACATCGACGGCTCCTGTGCGGCTCACAGAGTGTGCACTCAAGAGCCCAGTGATTTCTGTGTCACTTGGATACAGTGGATCACATTACTTCTGTGTCTGGGTGATCACATGGTATTGTACCATGTGATTGCTGTGTCCAATCACAATAATCACATAGTACTCAATGGGAATCGGATGTAAACATTGGTTCCCTCTGCTCTCACACAGATTAATAAATCAGTGTGAGAGCGGTGCATCAATCTCTCTCTACGCACAGAGCCCACTAAGCCCTAAAGCATACACTTTATTACCAAAAGTATTGGGACACCCCTCCAAATCAACGGATTCAGGTGTTCCAATCACCTCCATGGTCACATGTGTATAAAATCAAGCACCTAGGCATGGAGACTGCTTCTACAAACATTTGTGAAAGAATGGGTCGCTCTGAGGAGCTCAGTGAATTCAACCGTGATACCGTGAAATTTCCTTGCTATTGTTAGTGGTATTATAACAAAGTGAAAGCAACTGGGAATAACAGCAACTCAGCCACAAATTGCTAAGCCACGTAAAAATGAGTGGGGTCAGTGCATAGTGCGCAGAAGTCGCCAACTATCTGCAGAGTCAATACCTAAAAACCGCCAAATTTCATGTGGCCTTCAGATTAGCACAACCGTGCATAGAGAGCTTCATGGAATGGGTTTCCATGCCCGAGCACCTGCTTCAAAGCCTTACATCACCAAGTGCAATGCAAAACGAGGATGCAGTGGTGGAAAGCACGCCGCCACTGGACTCTAGAGCAGTGGAGATGTGTTCTCTGGAGTGAGGAATCATGCTTCTCTGTCTGCCAATCCTATGGATGTGTCTGGGTTTGGTGGTTGCCAGGAGAATGGTATTGCCTGACTGCATTGTGCCAAGTGTAAAGTTTGGTGGAGGGGGGATTATGGTGTGGGGTTGTTTTTCAGGGGTTGGGCTTGGCCCCTTAGTTCCAGTGAAGGGAACTCTTTAGGCGTAAGTATACCAAGACATTTTGGACAATTTCATGCTCCCAACTTTGTGGGAACAGTTTGGGGATGGCCCCTTCCTGTTCCAACATGACTGTGCACCAGTACACAAAGTAAGGTCCATAAAGACATGGATGATCAAGTTTGGGGTGGAGGAACTTGACTGGCCTACATAGAGTCCTGACCTCAACCCGATAGAACACCTTTGGGATGTATTAGAGCGGAGACTGTGAGCCAGACCTTCTCGTTCAACATCAGTGCCTAACCTCACAAATGCGCTTCTGGAAGAATGGTCAAACATTATTTCCATAGACACACTCCTAAACCTTGTGGACAGAAGAGTTGAAGCTGTTATAGCTGCAAAGGGTGCCAACTCAATATTGAACCCTGAAGACTAAGACTGGGATGCCATTAAAAATCATGTGAGTGTAAAGGCAGGCATCTCAATACTTTTGGCAATATAGTGTAACTTTTATTCCTACACAACTAAAATAACATATGTTGGCTAATGGAAACCTACTATAACAGATGCCTTCAGGAGGATATCTAAACTATATAAAAAGCATACACGTTCTTGGTGGGAGGTGGTTAGTTTAGAGATGTATATATAACAGAAGATCACTATGCTTGGATTTAAGACAAGACCCACAACAATAATCAGGAATTTGTAGAAGGTTGGGACAAACATCAGACCGAGAATACTTTAAAAACAATGCAGTACCTCTTGGATTTTGAGAGGAAAATTTTGGAAAAATTTACCTCACAGCTGAAAGAGGAGCAGACGAACATTCTGAAATTTAAGTCCCATACCGACTTCAGAACTCTGGAGGAGAGGTTATATAGAGATATAAAGAAGAAATAAAAACAAAAAAAATAAAATAAAAATAAGAGATACACAGGATTTTGAACAGGGAAAAGTTTACAACAATTGGCAGTTTTCACTATATACAAATCTAACAGAGTCATCTGATACATCTAATGACTCTGACAGCTGAGAGCTGGAGGAGTCAAACCCCAGGGCAGCGAATACAACAGTTAATCTCGTAGAATCCAGACCACAATCACAGAGGATGGGGAAAAAGAGGTCAACGAGGCAGATCACTGAGGGATAATCAGAATGATTTTTTTTATTTTCAATAGACCCAATCATTGAGAAATTGGGACCAGTAGGGGTATACAGGCATAAGGAGAATACCTTGGAATTGAAGCTGACTGTTGGCAATCAAGAAAAATTAAGGATTTTTAGTCCTTCCTCCTTTGTGTTTAACCCTGACCACATTAGTGTCCTAGAAAAAGGACTATCGTTTGTCCCATCAACATATTTCAATCTCTTTGGGTCAAAAATGTAAATTTGTTTGCGCGAAAATTGGCGTTAAAAAAGGAATATAAAAGCAACAATAAGACAAGCCATCATTACTGACCTCTCAAAAAACGATTGAAAGTCTGAGAATATTCAAATCTCTACAATGAGAAAATGAGATGGGAAATATTGAAGGGAGGGGCCCTTTTACTGAACTCAAGCTTAAAGCAGGCCATACATGGGTCGAAGTCTGAACAATTTTTGAATTGAAAATCGAAAACATAGTTCGTTCTGTAATCCGATGGTGCCACCAATGATTTTGAAAATCGGTAGTTTTTCACTAATTTTCTAGCATGCTCAATAAATGAAATGGGGAAGAACCATGAAAACCGGCCTCTGCCATTGCCCCACTAACAGAGCGAAAACCGGCCAATTATTCTTAGGTCCAATTTTCAAAGGATAAATCACTTGCAAATCGACCCATGTATGGCCAGCTTAAGAATGAGTATACACCACCTTTCCCACAGTGGAGTAATATCCAGCTATTCGGGAAACTGGTAGGGAATGATTTAGGCCAGCTTTGGAAGAGGAAGAGTTAGGAAAGATCATCAAATCTAACACCTGGTGAAATTAAGGCTTTGGAGATATTGCAAGATAGTAACGAACAGGGGCAGACTGACAACTCATGGGGCCCCCGGGCAATAGGGGATCATGGGGCCCCTGAGTCCTTGCCCAAACTCAAAAAAGCCTATGAAAAAGGTACCAGGGGCATCTTATGGGGCCCCTTACTGACCCTGGGCCCTCGAGCAGTGCCCGAGTTTCCAAAAGGTCAGTCCACCCTTGGTAACGAACTTGTCATGAACCCTGCAGAGAAGGGTGGAAATGTGGTTTTGTTAGAAAAGAACCACTATTTAGGAATTTATTGAATCTTGGAAATGAGAATAATTATTATTAACTAATTAAGTGATACTGACCGGAGACCCGACCAAAGAATACTCACATACAGGGGCAAACTGACCATTTGGAAACTTGAGCACTGCCTGAGGGCCCGGGGTCAGTAGGGGGTCCCATGAGATACCCCTGGCACCTTTTTCATAGGCTTTTTTTAGTTTGGGCAAGGACAACAAGGGGCCCCATGATCCCCTATTGCCCGGAGGCCCCATGAGTTGTCAGTCCGCCCGTGCTCACATAAATTAAAAGAAATACTTGATAATGTAATCAGTAACTGATTATGCTTGTTACACTCTGATGTTTCTCTCTGTGTGCATCTGTTTTGGTGATTCCTGAATACATAATGTTATATACTTAATATGGTTAAAAGTTGGTAATAACGTGCAAAGAAAATTGGCGATATGAATCTAAACATGTATGGTACAATTGAAATAACCGATAGTAGTTTGCCAAACTGACCACAGGCGAGAGCTCTTTTAGTAAGATGGAGCTCCTATCTGAACTGGATTCCTGTTTGCCCCCTAGTGGTGACTAAAATATATAAATAAGAGTTCTAGATTGCGGCTGCCTTCATTACACATGGTGTTTTGTGTTTTGAGCACATGCTTTATTTAAAATTATACTTTTATCACTCTTGATTAAGTCCTTTTATGGGTAAAACATGTTGAGTTTTGGGGTTGAGATGCTCACTTTTTGATGTGCTATATATTATCAGGGGATGCGGGGTAACACTGAAACATAGTCTGGTGTGGGAGGCACTCATTGGTATGACCAGTGTTTAGACATAAGTAAGGGAATGTTTCTCTTCATGAAAAACCCAACTACTCCTGTCAGGTTTTTTATCCCCTGCATCCACCTGCAGGTCTATAGATTTTTGCCAACATACGCTATTTAGTTGTGTATGAATAAAACTAATGTTTTAGGGCTTAGTAGGCGTAGAGAGATTGACGCTCAGCTCTCGCATTGATTTATCAGTTGTGATTCAGGCACATTTATTGGTCAGGCACATTTATTGGTTTATAGATCTCACACAGATCAGCTGTGAGAGCAGAGAGAATGGATGCAGCAGCCTGTCACAGTGCATGTACACTCAGAGACTGCAGTGCTAGCCTGCCCTATTGTTCCTGATCACTTCCCCTAGAAAAAAAACAATAAAAAGTGCAGCCAGCCCGTTAACTGTTTCAGTGTCAGTCCCAGTGTCACCAGTGATCAAAATAACACCTAACACCGCCATACACCATACCAACGTCCTGATCACTGCCATACCTCATAACAGAGTCCTGATAACCACAATACCAGCACCATGATCACTGCCATATACCATATCAGGGCCCTAATCACCATCATACACCATACCAGCACTCTAATCACAGCCACATCATACCAGCATCCTGATCACTGGCATATGCTATACCAGTGTACTGATGACTGTTATACTCCATATCAGATTCCGGATCACCGCCATAACCCATACTACCATCCTGATCACCGCCATATGCCATACCAGCATCCTGATTACCTCCATTGCAGCATCCTGATCAGCGCCATAACCCATACTACCATACTGATCACCACATAACACATACTACCATACTGATCACCGCCATAACCCATACTACCATACTGATCACCGCCATAATCCATACCAGCACCCTAATCACTGCCATACACCATACCAGCATCCTGATTACTGCCATACCTCATATCAACGTCCTGGTCACCACCTTACCCCATACCAGTGTCCTGATCACTGCCATACCCCATACCAGCATCCTGATCACCGCCACACCCCATACCAGCCTCCTGATCACCACCATATTCCATACAAGCATCCTGATCGCCCCATACCAGCATCCTTATCACCACCATACCCCATTCCAATGTCCTGACCATTGCCATTCTAGCGTCTTGATCACTGCCATACCACTGTCCTGATCAGCGCCAAACCAGTGTCCTGATTACCGCCATATCAGTACCAGTGTCAACAGAGCCAATTGTTTCCACTGTCCTGGTTCTCCAGGGGCTCCAGAAATTTGATAGTCAGGAAATTAGATGCTTAATTTATGCCCCTAGAACACCTTAACTGTTTCCTGTCCAGCAATGTAACGGTAATAAGTGCTGCTCAGATTACTTTTACAGGCAGCAGAAGGGGCCCCCCCTTTCCGCTGTCACCTTTACTGGGCTCTCCTGAGCAGTTGGAGAACCCGGAAGGAAACAGCCGACAGCATCTGGCTCGGGGCACACAGTGAGAGGAACTGATGATGTTCCTCCTCCCACTGTGTCACGTCCAAAACTGGAAGCAATGAGGATTTCATCCTGTTTTGGTTCTTTGTCTACCTGGCCATTACCGCCCAGGGAATCAGCCGATCAGACCGATCTGTGTCTGATCAACTGCATTGGAGGCCAGAGGAGAGGTCTGGGGTCTAGTAGAGCCCAGATGTCTCCATAAAGAGGACCTGTCACGGCCCATGCTGTCGCAAGGGATGTTGTTCATCTCGTTGTCATAGCAATAAAGTTGATTTTAGAAAAATGAGAGACAATGTTTTTAAAAAAAAAAAGAAATTATAAAATGAAAAAAAATTTCAGTCACCCACATCTGCCCGTACTCATGCACAAATGTGAACACGTGTCACAGTCTCACACGCAGGGGCGGACTGACCATTTGGAAACTTGGGCACTGCCCGAGGGCCCTGGGTCAGTAGGGGTCCCATGAGATGCCCCTGATACCTTTTTCATAGGCTTTTTTGAGTTTGGGCAAGGACACAGGGGCCCCATGATCCCCTATTGCCCGGGGGCCCCATGAGTTGTCAGTCCGCCCCTGCTCACACGTATGTGTAAACAGCGATCGCACCGCATATGTGAGGTATCACTGTGAACATCAGAGTGAGAGCAATAATTCTAATAATAATTCCAGATCTCTTGTGTAACCCTAAACTGGTAACCTGTAAAGGTTTTTAAAGTGTCACCTATGGGCATATTTAGGTACCGTAGTTTGACGCCATTCCACAGGCTGATGCAATTTTAAAGCATGACATATTTGATATACCGTATTTCGCGCTCCATAAGACGCACCTAGGTTTTAGAGGCGGAAAACAAGAAAAAAAATATTCTGAACCAATGGACTGCAGACATAGTACAGGGAATGACCAGAGACTGTGGACATAGTACAGATGACCAGAGACTGCGGACATAGTACAGGGAAAATACCAGGGACATAGTACAGATGACCAGAGACTGCAGACAGTGCAGGGGATGACCAGAGACTGTGGACCTTTGGGGAGAGAGGGGGGGCGGGTACCTTAATTGGACAGGTACCCGCTCCTACTTGCGCAGAGATGTCCTTCCCTCTTCTTCCCGCGCCGCCTTCGGTGACAGCTGGGTGCCCACTGCGCATGCGCGAGAAGCGCTGCGCTTTGTGAATGGCCCGGCGCCTTCTGGGACCTGTCATGTGTCCCAGAAGACACCGGACCATTCAAAAAGCGCAGCGCTTCTCGCACATGCCCAGAGGGCACCCGGCTGTCACAGAAGTCGGCAAGGGAAAACTGTACAGCGCTGGAGCGAGAAACAGGTAAGGTCCTGCAGGAGAGAAGAGCTGAGCGGCCGACCCGATATTCTGACATGGTGGAGGCAGAAATACCGGTTTATATTCGCTCAGTAAGACGCACTGACATTTTCCCCCCTTTTTTGGGGGGAAAAAAGTGCGTCTAATGGAGCGAAAAATACGGTACATTTACTCGGCGTAACATCGTCTGTCTATATTTTACAAAAAATAGGATATTGTGCTTTTGTGCATTAAAATACATTAAAGTGTATTTTTCAAAAAAATGTGTGTTTGAAAACCCACTGCGCAAATATCGTCTGACATAAAAATATGCAAAACCAAACATTTTATTCTCTAGTGCCTCTGCTGAAAATATTTAATATTTGGGGGGTTTAAGTATTTTCTAGCAAAAACATTGTGTGTATGTTTGTTTTGTTGTATGTAGTAGAGGAATGTAAATTTTGGCCCAGACTGGAAGTGATGAAGGTGCTTCTTGGATTTTGGGCTCCTCTGTGTAGCTATGAAGTCTCTTTTTCACACATGTGGTATCCTCTTACTTGGGAGGAGTAGCAGAATGTGTTTTGCGGTGTAATTATAAGTATGCCCATGCTATATGTGAGATATATCCTATTAAATTGAACAACTTTGTGTTAAAAGAAAAAATTATTTTCATTTTCTTTCTGCATTTTCCAAACTCCTGTGACAAAAAAATTTAAGTCTTCACAATACTCCCCATGCCTCTTAAAATATCTGGGGTGTTTACTCTCCAAAATGGAATCATTTTGTGGGTGTTTCTTGTGTCCTGGTGCTCCGGGGTCTTCAAAAATGTGATAGGTAGTTATCAAATTAGATGGGTAAATTATGCCCCTAGAAAGCCTGCTACTTGTATTTTGGTCCCCTATGTGTGTGTGTGTGTGTGTAGGATGTGAAAAAATCTCCCATGTAGTATCGCAAGAAAAGTAGCAGAATGTGTTTTGTGGTGTATGTAAGTATGTCCAAGCTGTTTGTTAGAAATATCTTACTAATTGACAACTTTGTGTAAATAAACAGATTTTTATTTTCTTTCCTACGTTTTGCAAAAACTTGTGGTAAAACATTACATTTTCAAAAGACTCTTTTAGAAAATACCTTGGAATGTTTGCTTTCCAAATTGTGGTCATTTTGTGGGTGTTTCCACTGTCCTGGGGCTCCAGGGCCTCCAAAAATGTGATAGGAAATTAGATGTGTAATTTATGCATGATTTACGCCCCTGGAACACCTGAAGGTGCTCCTTGGATTTCGGACCTTTCTGTGCATCTAGGCTGTGAAAGTCTCACACCTGTGGTATCCCCATACTCAGTGGGCATAGCATGATGTATTTTGGAGTGTTATTGCAAGTATCAAATTTATAAATGTGTTGCGCTGCTCCATAAACATTCAATGAATAATTTGATTCAGTTATTGGTGGGAACACTTTCTGTGTTGGCAGCAGCTCCTTTATTGTTATATTGATTTTTATGTATTTATTTTAGTTTATTTACAATATAACTTTAGTGATTATATGTTACTTCTATTTTGAGGGGGGTTTAGGCAGTGTACTGGTTTAATACACTTTAGTAATTGCTAGTATGCCTATGCCGTGTGTGAGAATTAGCTTGTTCAAATTACACTTTTTATTAAATTTCTTCATTTTCAAAAAATGGTGAATCGTGACCACGGCTCTGCCTCCCCCCAGCCTCCGCCACTCTCATTTTACCTGCAGAGTGCAGATCGGGAAGCGGCATAGTGCTGGATGAAGGGCGGGAGCTTCCTCAGTGGTTGGTTGCTAGTCGGTCCTAGTAGCAACCAATCACCAGCTTGTTATTATGAACTCCAGCAGCTCCCGCCTTCCACCCAGCACTATGCTGTCTCCCGATCTCTGCTCTGCTGTACACAGGTTGGTAGGAAGTGCTACCTACACAGTGCGGTCTGTGGGAGGGGGGGATGATGTGAAGGGGACAGAAGAAATGCTGTTGGGGGGGCAGAGGACACTATAGTGGGGGGATTTTGTGATGAGCAATTGACACATAACACTACTTTGGGGGAGGGGGAGGCAGAGGACACTTTGTGTGGGGCAGAGGACACTACAATTGGGAGGGGTAGATCACACAACAGTGGGGGGGGGGTAGAGAACACTACAGTGGGGGTGATGTGAAGGGGGGCAGAGGACACTACTGAAGGGGGTGACGTGAAGGGGGACAGAGGAAACTACAGTGAAAGGGGTGATGTTAAGGGGGTAGAGAACACTGCTATGTGGAGTACAAGACACTACTGTGGGGAGGGGCAGAGGACACTACAGTGGAAAGGGTGGGTGATGTGAAGGGGACAGAGGACACTGCTATGGGGGGGGGGGGGGGGGGTCAGCGGTCATTACAGTGGGAGGGAGTAATGTGAAGGGGCAGAGGACACTGCTTTGAAGGGGGGGCAGGTTACAGGACACTACTGTGGGGAGGCAGAGGACACTACTATAGGAGACAGAGGAGACTACAGTGGGGGGGGGGGGTGATGTGAAGGGGGCAGAGGACAACGCTATGGGGGGCAGAGGAGACTACAGTGGGAAGGGGTGATGATGTGAAGGGGACAGAGGACACTGCTATGGAGGGCAGAAGTCACTGTAGTGCGGGGGGGGGGGTGATGTGAAGGGGCAGAAGACACAGCATTAGGGGGGGTGCAGAACACTACTATGGGAGGGGAGTTGGGCAGAAGACACACACTGCTATGGGGGCAGAAGACACTATAGAGGAAAGGGTGATGTGAAGGGGACAGAGAACACTGCTATGGGGGGGGGGGGCAGAGGACACTACTGTGGGGGATGATGTGAAGGGGGCAAAGATACTACTGTGACACAATATGTGTTATTCATGCTATCTTTTTATTGGGAGCTTGATAGTTTTTTTTTTTTTGTTTTGTTTTTTAAAGAGCACCACCTAGTACACTGTTCTGCTTCCCAGGGATATTTGCTTTCCACCATGTTGTCCAGGTAAGTCTCAGCATCTGAAAGGTTACCTACCTCTGCTCTATTACTCTCACACAGACTAAATAATATACACTGATTTTAGTTATTTTTACAAAAACAAAATGTAGCAGAATACATTTTGGCCTAATTTTATGAAGAAAGATTATTTATTTGCAAAATTTTATAACAAAAAATAAGAAAAAGTGTTTTTTGTTTTTTTTTTTTCAAAATTTTTGATATTTTTATGTTTTATATAGCAAAAATTAAAAAACCCAGTGG